ACTCAGCTCCAGGACCCTGCCCTGGTTCCAGACCCTGATCCAGCCCGACCCAGGGACCTTTCCTCAGTCCCGGGACTTCGCCCCAGTCCCGGGACCCTTCCTCAGCCACGGGAACCCAGTCCCTGTTCCAGCCCGCGCCCTGTGCCCAGCCCCACTCGGAGGGACCCCAGGGTGAGACTGCAGCGATCCCCCGGGACCCTGACCCGCACCCCGCACCCGCCGGGGGCTGGGGCCCGGCCGGCTGCTTCTCATTTCCAGGGCCGTAAACCCCTTTAACGACCGGCCATTTATAACCGCTGTAAAGCCCCTAATCACCGCCAGAGCCGGCCCAGACACAAAAGGCTCCCGCCTGCTCCTCCGCCCTCCCACCTTCCTCTGCTTTTTGGGGCTCTGACAGCTTTTCCCACCCCCACCCGGCCCACAGGGACGGGAGCAGGAGGGACGAACCCCCAGAACCCCGCAAGCTCCCGGCCCGTGGGGATGCTCGGCTGTTCGCTCTCCAGCACCGCGGGGGGACCCGGACCCGCGCGTTTATCCCCAAAAAAAGGAGGTTGTACCCCCAAAACCCTCCCTCGGGCTCGAAGCAAGCGCGGCCACGTAAACACGAGGAAATGCTGGAAAAAGTGACGCAACGGGGGCTCGGGGCCGCGGCCAGCCCGGCGGGGGCGGCTGCGGGCTCGGCACCGGCACCGGCACCGGCACCGGCACCGCTCCCGGAGCTGCCGCGGGCACGGCGACACCGGGGAGCCGTTCCGGCAGAAAAGGGGGTGCGGGGGTCGGGGAAGGGGCCAGCTCGCCAGGAAGAAGAGGAGAAGGAGGAGGAAGAGCCCACGGGACAGATGTCGGAGGGTGCCGGGTGACGGCCCGGTAAGGGACCCCCCCCTCCCGCCCACCGGGGCCGGGGGCTCCTCCCCGCCGCCACCGAAGGGAAGAGCTCTTCAATCATTGCTTTTTAATTAGATTTTTGCACATAAACCTTTCAGTTCAAAGCGGTTCCCGGCAAGGCTCGGGCACCTTCGGGTTACGGCCGCCCTCCGGGGGTGTCCCCGGGGCAGCGCGGGGGGCTCGGGCGGCGGATGCGGCCTCGCCGTGCCCGGCTTTGTGCCGCCCCTTGCACAATGAGGAAGGTGGAACTTCTCCACCGATTAAAGACTTTGCAGAGGGATCTGAGTCCCAGCGGCAGCTCCCCGCGCTGACAGAGGTAGTTTTGGGATGAGGAAGGAGCCCGCTCCATTCCCAACGCCCCAGGGATGGGGGCTGTGCTCAGGATGCCCCGAGGGCGCTCCCAGATCGGGAGCAGCAGCAGCCCCGAAGTGTTCGGGGGGTGCAGAACCCCAGAGACCCCTCTGGGTGAAGGCACCGGCCCAGAACCTCCACAGGTCCTGGGGGCAGCGGGGCGGAACCCCCCAAAGTCAGAACCGGGCTGGGGGTGTCACTGTGGGACCCCCCAAAGTCAGGACCGGGCTGGGGGTGTCACTGTGGGACTCCCCAGAGGCAGGACCGGGCTGGGGGTGTCACTGTGGGACTCCCCAGAGGCAGGACCGGGCTGGGGGTGTCACTCTGAGCTCCCCCCAAAGGGAGGACCAGCCCGGGGGTGTCACTTTGGGTCTCCCCAGTGGCAGGACAGACCTGGGGGTGTCACTCTGAGCCCCCCCAAAGTCAGGACCGGGCTGGGGGTGCCACTTTGGGACCTCCACAGAGGCAGGACCAGGCTGGGGGGCATCACTTTGGGTCCCCTCAAAGGCAGGATCAGGCTGGGGTGTCACTTTGGGTCTCCCCAGTGGCAGAACAGGGCTGGGGGCGTCACTCTGAGCCCCCACCAAAGTCAGGACCAGGCTGAGTGGGTCACTGTGGGACCCCCAGAGGCAGGTCCGGGCTGGGGTGTCACTCTGAGCCCCCCCCTAGAGGCAGGACCAGACTGGGGGTGTCACTCTGAGCCCCCAAAAGGCAGGACTGGGCTGGGGGTGTCACTTTGGGACCCCCCAGAGGCAGGACCAGGTTTGGAGGTGTCACTCTGAGCCCCCACCAAAGTCAGGACCGGGCTGGGGGTGTCACTCTGAGCTCCCCCAAAGGGAGGACCAGCCCGGGGGTGTCACTTTAGGACCCCCCCAGAGGCAGGACCGGGCTGGGGGTGTCACTTTGGGTCCCCTCAAAGGTAGGATCAGGCTGGGGGTGTCACTCTGAGCCCCCCCAGAGGCAGGACCAGGCCGGGAGTGTCACTCTGAGCCCCCTCAAAGGGAGGACCAGCCCGGGGGTGTCACTTTGGGACCCCACAAAGGCAGGACCGGGCTGGGGGTGTCACTTCGGGACCCCCTGAGGCAGAACCGGGCTGGGGGTGTCACTCTGAGCACCCCAGGGTGTCACTTCTGCTCCGGGTTCTGCTGCAGGTGCTGCTCCCACTCCTCCTCCACCACCTTGTAGAGCTCCATGGTGGCTCGGGCATCTTCCACCGAGGAGTGGCCGCTTTTCCCCACCTGTGGACACGGACACGAAGTCACCACAGCTCCCGTTTTTGGGAGGGATATACAGAGATGAGGGAGTGAAGGCAGCTGTGGGGTAACGCACCCAGCCAGGAGGGGGGGGATGCAGGGAGGTGAGGGTGTGAGGAAGATTTGGGGTGCACGATTTGGGGTGGATTGGGGCACATGGGCAGCTCCAGGGGGCTGCAGATGGATTGGGTGGGCAGATGCAGGGAGATGAGGGGGTGGCAAGTAACTGTGGGAGGGGTGCAGGCAGAATGGGGGGGATGTAAGCAGATTTGGGGGTACAGGAAGCTCTGGGGGGGATGCAGGGAGCTTAGGGGAGTATAGGGAGATTTAGGGGTGCAGAGAAGACTGGGGAGGTGAAGGAAACGCTGTGGGATGTGCATAAAGAAGAAAAAAAATCTCTTGAGGCTGCAGGGATTGAGCTGAAGGAAGGGAAACTGAGGCACGGGGCAGCCTTGCTCCAGCGTTCCTGGGACCTCCCCCGTTCCCTCCCCACCGTGTCCTGGCACGGTTTTGGGGTCCCCACGGGCACCTGGATGTCCTGGTTGAGCAGGGCCTTGGTGAGGCGCTTGAGGGACACGGCCACGTTCTCGGGGAAGCCGGCGCGGCGGTTCAGCAGCGGGATCTGCGCCGTGTCCCGCGTCAGCGCCCGCGGGTGGCAGTAGTGCAGCGCCTTGAAGTCGTTGTGGATGGCGTGGCCCACCACCACCTTCCCCGCCAGGATCCGCAGGACCTGCGGCGGAGCAGGGGGGTGAGCCCCCAGCACAGCCAGCCCCGCTCCGTGGGAAGCTTCTGCCACCCCACCAAGAACGGGGGCAGCCCCGTGGGGCAGGGGGGACAGTCCCTGTGCCTTGGGGACAGTCCCTGTGCCCCACAGGGCAGAGTGGGGACAGTCCCTGTGCCTTGGGGACAATCCCTGTGCCTTGGGGACAGTCCCTGTGCCCCACAGGGCAGAGTGGGGACAGTCCCTGTGCCCCAGGGACAATCCCTGTGCCTTGGGGACAGTCCCTGTGCCTTGGGGACAATCCCTGTGCCTTGGGGACAGTCCCTGTGCCCCACAGGGCAGAGTGGGGACAGTTCCTGTGCCCCATGGGGCAGGGCAGGGACAATCCCTGTGCTTTGGGGACAATCCCTGTGCCCCACAGGGCAGAGTGGGGACAGTCCCTGTGCCTTGGGGACAGCCCCTGTACCCCACAGGGCAGGGGAGACAGTTCCTGTGCCCCATGGGGCAGGGCAGGGACAATCCCTGTGCCTTGGGGACAGTTCCTGTGCCCCAGAGACAGTCCCTGTGCCTTGGGGACAATCCCTGTACCTTGGGGACAGTCCCTGTGCCCCACAGGGCAGTGGGGACAGTTCCTGAGCACTGTGTGGCAGGGAGCACAGGACCACCATGGGGTACAGGGGACAATCCCTGTGCCCCACAGGGCAGGGCAGGGACAGTCCCTGTGCCTTGGGGACAATCCCTGTGCCCCATGGGGCAGGGCAGGGACAGTCCCTGTGCCTTGGGGACAATCCCTGTACCTTGGGGACAGTCCCTGTGCCCCACAGGGCAGGGCAGGGACAACCCCTGTGCCTTGGGGACAAACCCTGTGCCCCAGGAACAATCCCTGTGCTCCTGAGCCCCCCATCCCACCCTCATTCCCAGCCCTGAGCCCCCCATCCCCAGCAGTGAGCCCCCCATTCCCCCATCCCCAGCCCTGAGCCCTTCATCCCACCCTCATCCCCAGCCCTGAGCCCCCCAACCCCCCCCATCCCAAGCCCTGCAGCCCCCCACCCATCTCCTCACCCTGCAGCCACCCCAATCCCACCCCTGCACTCCCACCCTTGGCCCCACAGCCCCCCACCCTATATCCCATGTCCCCAGTGCCCCATATCCCATGTCTCCATAGCCCACACCCCATATCCCCATGTCCCCAGAAACCCCACCTCACAGCCCGTGTCCTCAGCACCCACCACCCCACATCCTGTGTCTCGGCACCCCCCACCCCATGTCCCTTGTCCCCAGTGCCCCCACTCCATATCCCCTGTCTCCCCAGCCCCCTAACCAATATCCCATCCCAAATGCCCCCCACCCCATATCCCCTGTCCCCAGTGCCCCACACCCCATATCCCATGTCTCCATAGCCACCACCCCTTATCCCCTGTCCCTGGTGCCCCACACCCCATATCTCCCTGTCCCCAGAACCCAGCCCCACACCCCATATCCCCCGGTCCCCACAGCCCCCTCCCCACATCTCCCTGTCTCCACAGCCCCACACCCCTTATTCTGTGTCCCCACAGCTCTCCACCCCACATCCCCTGTCCCCAGAGCCCCCTACCCCACACCCTATATCCCAAATGTCCCACACCCCATATCCCGTGTCCCCACAGCCCCCACCCCAC